ACTTTACGGGCAGAAGAAACATTTCTATTAAAGAAAGAATTATACATTTCTGTCTTTTTATGCCTATAATAGCTACTAACTTGAATTTTTATTAAAATTAATTAATCAATTAATTTTTATATTTTATTGTAATGTAGAGACAAGGCTTTTAGTGACAATCATGTATTGCCAATTATATGTAAAACAAAAAGTCTAAATATGATATTTGGCCTCAAATCATCTGAGGCCTGGCGCCCCCCCTGCGATCTCTGGCCCCCCGGGTCCCCCAGGTTGGGAACCACTGATCTAGATGATGGTTTTAATGCTTGGTTAATTAAAAGTAAATCAGACAATATTATGAAGTTGTTATCTGTTTGAGCGACTGTTCCAAATCTGGGAATCAGTTTAAATATAACTTTGAGTGATAGCAAGATGATTAACATAAAAAGGAAACCAGAGGAAAAAACTTCTTCTGGTATTTTAATAACTAAACCTAAAAAAGACTAGTATAAATTGCAACGTAAGATGCTAGCTCTTTAGATGGCAATGTTGTTTGATTGCGTCTCGTCCAAAGTGAAATATTTACACAACAGTTAAAAGGTTGTGAGTTCAAATCCCGCTTGGAACACCACCACTAGTGTGCCCTTGAGCAAGGCACTTAGCCCTTAGTTACTCCAGGGAGAATGTCCCTGTAATCGGTAATTGTTAGTCGCTTTGGATAAAAGCGTCAGCTAAATGAAATGTAATGTAATTGAAACTAACGACTTTCCTCTAGCCTTGTGCAAATGCTAGCATGCTAAAACGCTAAAATAAGATGATGAACTTAGGAATGTCCTATAACTTCAATGTAGCATTTAGCTGACAGCAACTCAGACTTTGTGGATATGAAGTGTGGAAGACCTTTGATAGTTAGATTCAAATTAGCTAGCTAGAACTGTTTCATAATCCCATTTTGATGTCTTACTATTTGTACAATGTAGATACTTGACCTCTCTCTTTGTGTTAGGTTTCTACATGACTGGGATGACATCCAACTCTACACAGGCTGAGGTAGCTCAGCTGCTCACACCTGAGTTTCTTTCAGCTACAGAGATATGTGTTCGCTTCTGGTGAGTCTAGTGCTGCCTTACGTTTATACACTGTTGTCTGATGCAGATTTAATGGTTGTGCATCTGCTGTACTTGTTCAGGTACTGGATACCTGCGGGGTCTAGTAACATCCTTGCCGTGCATTTGCTGCGCAGCGGAGACCTGGAGGATGCTCTTTGGCAACGATCTGAAGCGCCCTCTGCAGGCTGGGAGGTGGCAGAGGTCACTGTGTCCTCCCCTGCACAATTCCGTGTAGGCAGCTTTTTCTAATTTTCTATTTCCAACACTTCCTGCCAATAAAACTGCCTTTTCCCTGTCTCCCATTGGTTCTACTTCCTATAACAGTTCCTGTCTTTCACCAGGTGGTGTTTAAGGCAGATCATGTGACTGGCACCATCGCTACAGTGAAGTTAGATGATGTTTCTGTGAGGGACGGGGCCTGCAGTCCTCCAGGAAGCTGCGACTTTGAGTCCGGACAGTGCACCTGGGTCAACATCCCCAAAGAAGATGGACACGACTGGGTGCTGGCACGGGGGGGCTCCCAGGGACCGCCCACAGACCACACCACTCAGACCCCACAGGGTACCAACTTTGATGTACCTTACAATGGAATTATCTAGTTTTTTTTTTTGCTTTAATTTATCATTAGGGAGTAAATGTTGAATGCACAGTGTAGTGGCTATAGGACAATAACACAATCTGAGTTTAAATTGGTTCCCATAAGTCATTCACCACACATTTCTGTCTGCCAACGGGTACGACACACGGCACAAAGGAACTGTGTCAACCCTTGCACAACCAAAGGAGAAATCGCGATTGGTAGCTATCCCAAGATAGAGGAAATGGTTAAACAATTGGAAATGTATTATTTAGTTAATAAAGGTTTGGGAAAAATTATGTGGTAAGTCTACCACTCAAAAAAATAACCCTAACTTGTCTATTGCCACTTTTAAATAATAAAACATAATGGAAAGGCTTGCAGTAGAAATCCCAGCAATAATTAACGTTTTTTCATTTGAAAAGCCTCAGGAAATATTTGGGTTTAAAGTTAGCTGACTAATTAACTCAACAACCATCAATGATTGATTTACGCCACGTTAGCAGCTGTTAAACTGACATTCTGTTACTTATTAACTTCTGTTTTTATCTCTGACTTAAGTCCTGTTACTGAAATCACATCCGTCCTGCCCCACAAATCATATCCTTATGTCTGTTCTACAAAAGCAACTTTAAAATGAGAAGGCTATAAAATCATTATCAAATATGTATCTTTCTCTTACTGACATTGATCATGATGCATTTAGAGTTTGAAAGGTTCCAACAGGCAAAAAGAATGTGTAGCATTCACAGATGATAGCTTGCACTGGAAATAATTCCCTCATGTTGGTGCACCATTAAATGACAATGCAATGATCAGGTAATGCAAGTGTCAGCAAAACGTAATCATCTAATTCTTATCTTTGCATTTAGGTCAGTTCTTGTTGAGCTCCTCACTGCACCAAACCCACAGCAACGTCTCTCAGGCTGTGTCAGAGTGGATCGTACCCAGAGGCAGCGCCTCCTGTCTCACCTTCTGGTACCATATGGACAGCAGGTCAGCACTACATGACGAACCACGACCTTTCACACTGTTCAGTTTGTGACAATGCGGAGGATGCACTTCATCCTGTTTAGTTTCCTCATCGACTTCCTCAGAAAGTGAGCACAAGTGGCATTTAGACGTGAATCACCTGCCTCCGCCACTTTGTGCAAGACAAAGAAGATCCTGTGACACTTTGTACACACTGTGAGAGTTGTATGCAAAAATGTCAATTTTGAACAAAGAAAAGGTTTGAGCTATCAAGAAACTGTAAAAAAATATGATCCACGTTAAATATAGCAAGTCAAAGTAGAACAAATTAAATTTGATAGACAATAGAATAATTAGCTGTTTTCACATGTCACATAATAACATGACTCTGTTGTTTGTCAGTGCCTCGGGGACGTTGACGGTGTTGATGCGTTCAGGGCCATCGGAGGAGAAACCGATGTTCAACAGTAACAGCAGTGGACACGGCTGGATCAAGTTCTCTCAATCTATAGAGAGGACGAAACCTTTCCAGGTAATATAACAGGGGCTGAGTGGTAGACATCAATAAACAATAAGAGAATGACGGGATATTATTGCCCATTTCTAAGTCTTTATTTCTAAGTCTTTATTGTTATGATTTTGTATATATAGTACAGCTACTCTACTTTACTCTACCCAATGATATGCATTCAATGTAACCGCCTATAATGTATTACCATGTGCTGTATGCTTAGGCTGAATGTTTGTAATTTCTTGGTTATTTCTTCCGATGTATGTGTGTGAATGTTGTTTGTATGTTGTACTTGTTTGTTATTTGTTTTCTTGGGACCCCCTTGAAAACGAGGTGATTCACCTCAAGGGGTTTATCCTAATAAAGAAATTTGAATATATATTTAAGCAAATATTTTCCCTGCTTCTCTCAACTACCTCATGTTCAGCTGCTGATCGAAGCAGAGACTAACAGAGGATTTATTGCCATCGATGACATCACTGTCACTCCAGGCCTTTGTCAAGGTACTGATATTGCTTTTTTATTTCAATATCTACTACATGCACCACGGGTCATTTTAGACTTTGTGCATCTGCATATCAGTGGCTAATCTTGTTTATCACCGGATCCATCAGCCTAATCTAATCTGTCCACATAAATCACTAAGTTCTCATGATTCCAGTGTATTTCTGAGAAATCTATATATATAATGGACTGTTTTATATTGTCATTGACTGCTGACTACACAAGTGACCGGGACCTCAGATGTTCAACAGTTGCTTAGGTAGCAATAGGCATTCCTGGCAAGCAGCTTGGCTAAAAAAAGAAATCTTACCTAGTGTATTTCGGGTAACATTTTGGCCTTTGCTGTGGTTTGAAACCGACATCCATATAAAAGTAGGAGCATCTTAAGACTGCAATAATTCAATGCTTGATATTGTATGATCCACTAAAGTTGTGCATTTTGACCGTAAGGGAGCTTCTTTATGCCAATATGTCTGATGATGATTCAATAAATAATAAACACATTTTTTTCTTTTTCTTTTAGTGAATGAGACAGGTTTGGGATTTGTGGGTTGCTCATTTGAAAACGGCACCTGTGGCTGGGAGGACATCAGTGCAGGCCAGTGTCAGTGGACGAGAACAAGGAATGCTACTGGGAACACTGGACCCTCCGTAGACAACACAGTGGGCTCTGAACTGGGTGAGCCCCCTCTCATTCTGCTTCTGCATCTAGTGTAAAGGCCACTAACAGCAATAAGAGGCAGAGCAAAGAGGTTACCAACATTTGTGATGCTCTGGACTTTAGATTCCATAAAAAAGCAAACATAATGTGTATCTATCTGGATTTCCCATCATATAATAATTCATCATAGTTACAACCCTGCAAAGCGGAAAGAAGAAAGATCTTTAGTTTTTTTTATCATACATTTTCAATCGTAAAAAATGTGTTTTTACAAGGGTAAGAAAAGGCTGAATAAGCAGAATATGTTTCCTCTTTTCCAATAGTTATGGTTGCATTGTCGGCTTTAGGTTTAGCCACAGCTTCTACATCCCCATCCTGTTGTTGTTCTGGCTTGGATTCCTTGATTTTAATGGAAATAAATAAATAATAAATAAAATATACTGTTTATGAATTCAGGATAATGCTGTTAGGTCAGCTGCTATCACACCTAAAATAAAATGCCCTAAGCTCTGAAAAGACAATAAAGAAGGGCGAAAATATATACCGGTAATCAGTCCCGAGAACATCTAAGGACTTCCTGCATTGTATACGAAACTCAATTTAAACTGACTGCTGCTGATTGTGTGTGGAAAGATTATTCTATAATAAAACGCTTTGGGTTCTTATCTGTTTATGCCAGGTTGGTACATGGCCTTGGAGCCGGGCCAGGGAATTGAAACTACCCCTGCTGCTGTGCAGAGTCCCATCATGAACCAGGCCAGCGCCACCTGCACACTACACTTCTACTACAACATGTTTGGAGAAGGTATGTTTAAAATAAACTACAAGGAACTTTCATTTAGGCTGTGAACCCTCACTTTGTGTCATTAGGTCATCATCTGACTATAGGGCCTACTGTACATTTCTTTTAGGAGCAGGTGGTATGAGGACACTTAATGCGGGTTGCAGGTTGCATAGCCTTGCAATGCTTAGCTTACCCAAAGTCAGTATTAATATTCAAAACTTTCTACACATACTTGAAGTCAAGGTCTTGAATATGTTTACTCTCTTCAGCCGTGCATGCTCTTAACTTTATGCATTCTGCTGTTGATTGCCTAGTGGCTGTTGGTCATCACACTCAGTATTAAAGAAAGCTTTGCAATGCCTGTTCTTTAACTTTCTTTTGATATCATTTTCTGTTCTTTCTTTGTTGATCTTGCCCCCCAGTAATTGCCAAAACCACAAAATATATTCTTAAAGGAAATGTCTACCCTTTAACTGGCTACCATTCTCCTCATAGTAACTTTAACTCTTTCTCATTGGTACAGACATGGAGGAGCTGAAGGTGCTGCTGCACGACGGCTCCAGGACCACCGCACTGTGGTGGCTGTCTGGTAACCATGGAGATGAGTGGCATCACGGTGAGGTAACGGTTGGTCGAATCCCGGTGGCCTTCACCATCCTGTTTGAAGCCTCGAGGACCTTCAACCGGCCCGGACACATGGCCATCGATGACATAGATTTCACCAACTGCTCCCTGCCTGGTAGGTGACCTGCTGTTCCAACACACACTTTATTTCAGCTGTCTTCTTTTCTTCTCGAGCTGATTCTTGAAATACGTTTGGTTTTCTCAGAGCCCCAGCCCTTGTGTCCAGAGAATATGTTTACGTGCAACAACAGTGTGTGTGTCGGGCTCAACCAAGTGTGTGACTTCAGCGATGACTGTGGGGACCGGTCTGATGAGAACAACTGTGGTGAGACATCACAAATGTTTTAAGGTTACAAAATATGTTAAAAATACTGACTATACTGTTCTGGTTGATTCATCAAGTCACACAGACACTCCCTGTGTACTTCCCCTTGTCCTGAACACTGTTTCATTACATCCGCTAAATATTTAGGAGTTAAGTTTTTACTGTATAAGAAAGTAGTAATATAAAAGTATGTGATATGAATTAATGTACAAGTGTGGTGTGCTGTATACAAATGCATTACACAATCATAGAGCTGCAATGATTAGGTAATTATTGGATGGACAGAAAATTAATTGGAAGCTGTTTGTTTTTATAAAAGTGTATATTATTTATTTGTTACCATAACTGACCAACATCTACTGGTTTCAGCTTCTCAAATCTTAGAAATGTGCTGCTTCCCTTTTTTTGACTGTCTTACATAACAAGAAATGTAAAGATGTCCGCTTTCATGGCATTTTCCACTTTTTTTCTGATGGTTTTTTAGAGTTACAAAATAATAGATTCATCAATAAGAACAAGCTCTACACATTCACAGGTTCATTTTTCTCCAGGAGCAGTTTTCAACTTGTCTACCTCTCACTCCCTTTTACCTGAAAATAATACAAAATGTAGAACAACAAGGTGTTTTGGAGCGCTGCAGCTTTGAACAAGGCCTGTGTTTCTGGGAGCAAAGTGACGTGGACACAGCAGGAGCTGATTGGACGCATCGCAAAGGAGAGGACGCCTGGCCCAATCACGGGCCTCCGAGGGATCACACCAAAAACTCTGATGCAGGTATATCACTCTCTGAGCTGTTGCCATTAGCGTAACTCAAATGGGTCTTGACTCTAAATAACTCACTAGATGGAGCATCCGTCATTTATTCAGTTTGCTTCTGTAAAAAGAAATTCTGTGCTTTTACTTACTAATGTATTTTTACTTATTTCATAATTATACAGGTCACTATGTCATCCCTGGGGCTGAGCTGCCTAATCAGACGTCAGAGATTCTCTCCAAAACTTTACGACCCAGCTCCAACTGCACTGTGAGTATTCAAGGGTGCATGTCAAATCAAAATGAAAGAGGTTACTGTGTAAAAGTTGACAGGAGTGCCATCCTGACAAGCTGATAAAAATGCATATAGATTTTTTTAAAGCATGCTAACATTTGGTCATTAGCACTCAACACACAGTACACATTAGGCTGGTTAGAGTTGCATACGTTTGACAGATATTTAGTTATAAACTAAATATAGGAAATAAAATGTAAAATCTAATGATCGATCTAAATAAAAAGGCATAATGAGCAGAACACTGTAAGTAATCAAAAATTACTCAATTGTTTGGCAATGTCTGTTTCTGCAGAGTGTGCATAGCTTTTGTTATCAAACGCTTAATCTGATCTAGAGTAAATGATTAACCACTATTGCAGGTTGATCACAGTTCATGAGACAGTTGAGATTATTTAGATAAAAGTAATGGCTTTATTGTTTTTAAAGCACAGCATGGCCTCTTTTATGTACGTCCGCTCACTGTGAGGGCTCGTGTTGTTTCCGTGCAGGTGAGATTCTTCTTCTTCTTCAGCCTGGGCGACGCTGCAGGCCGACTGACAGCCCGAGGCCGCACACTTCGCTCTGGGAGAGACGACGCTGTGTTGTGGCTTGGAGAAAACTCCCAGAGCTACAGCTGGCAGAGAGCAGAGGTCACGCTCTCCACTTTGTCTATTAGCAAGGTCAGTAAAGACGCACACAATTCAGTAAATGACAGCCTAGGCCTACTTTATGAATAATTCTCTTATTTGTATCAATCATAAGAGATCACAAAGATGAAATAAATATTTTTTAAAGCTGTTCAATATTTAATGTGAACAATGGGTCTAATGAGGACATTTTTGAAAGAGGGAATTGACACTACACAATGACATAAAAGCCTGGCTTGAAATATGGGTTTGACTTAAAACAATATCAATATATTTGAGCTCTTCTAAGATCCAAAGTGTCTAAAAAAAACCTAATAACTTTTTTTTTAAGAGTGTCTCCTCCTCTACTTCTCAGCTTGTCTTCAGATATGAGCGAGGTGATGGGATCAGGGGGATGGTTGCGCTGGACGACATCTCTTTCTCCAGGGAGTGTGAATTTGACCCTGACAACAACAAACTGCCTGACACACCCCCCACCTCTGCCCCCCCCACACCCTGTCAGGTAATACTTTAAATAATAAGTTCCTATTGTGAAACATCAAACTGTTGTCCTGTGGAATATAATCCAGAGCTGTTTTCTTTCTCTGTGTTGCAGGGTAATGAGTTCTTCTGTTGGCGGTCAGATGTGTGTATTCTGGCTTCTTTAAAGTGCGATTATCGTGCAGACTGCCCGCAGGGGGAGGACGAGGATGGCTGTGGTGAGCTATCTGTTGCATGCACAGACAAATGCTTCTACCATTTTATTTGCAGAATACAATTTCTTACAAAAAAGGAAATGACATCTTAGATTTTCCTAGATCCATTAGCAGGCTGCCAGAAAGTAAAATCAGGATGGTAACTCTGTCGCATTCGTTTTAGCGGGGAGAAATAAGTTGAGCATGTGGGTCAAAATGAATATACATAAAAGTTGTCAAGTGATCATGATTGAGAAAGAATATGTTTTCATGCTGAATGTACAGTATTGCACAATAAGACAATGATAAGGAAGCTGAAACCTTTTTTTAATTTTTTAAGACATTATTTACATGATGCTAATGTAACCCCAATCTCAAAACACTTCTTGTTTTCACCAAAATATATTTGTATGTGTAAGGTATACATTGCAAGTTCTGATGACAGCCGAGTGGCCAAATCTGGCAGTGTTTAATTTAAAGGAAAATGACTTTACTGGTTCACTTTAACAAAGGTCAACCTTTTCTATCACAAGATTTAGTAAAAGGTCGGAATTATATAATGTTGTAACAAGATGTTACAAAAACAGACTATTTTAATACTTATTTTCAAAAACATGTGAATCATGAACCAGTTTTCGCCTCCATTGTTTCCCAGCAGTATTACTCACGCCTTGTCTTTAACTATTAGGTGGGTGCACATTTGAGAGTGACCAATGCCTATGGACGGACACCAGTGAAGGACAGATGATGTGGCGGAGACAGGAAGCCAGTAACAACACCGAGCCGCCGACTGATCACACTACAGACACAGGTTGCTTCATTATTAGCTTCAATTATTTGAATGTAAATAGACCCAAAGGAACAGATCTTTAGGGAAAACATTGCTTAGAAATCCTCATAACTACACTCAGCATGTTAAGGGGTCTACTTTATTGATTTTGTTGTTTTTCCTTGTTCTCAGGCTACTACATGAGTGTGAATTTAAGTCAGGGGTCCACGCAGAGTGAAGCCCGCCTCCAGAGTCCCCCACTCCCCCCTGCATCTCCCTTCTGCCAGATTCTGTAAGTGACACTCATAGCCACAACATTAACCTTCCTAGTATCTGTAAAATATGTTCTTTGTTAGTGTTGAAAATGTAAAGTATGAATTGCTCAACACTGTCCACCGCCCTCGTCTTTCTTCCCAATCCAACACTCTCCCCTTCTAACTTCCTTCTTTCCTTAACGCAGGTTTCACTTCCACATCCGCGCAGAGAGTGCTGGGTCACTCAGAGTGCTTATGCAGCAAGCTGAGGGGAGTGAAGCAATCCTGTGGTCACGCAGTCAAAACACTGTCTCCCATTGGACCCCAGAGCATCTGCCCGTAGGCCTGAGCCCCCAGACTTATAAGGTGTGCAACTGTGTATCCTACTTCTAACAGATTCATCAAGTTTTAATCCAAACAAGAGGGGCGTACAGACAAGTGACATATTAAGGCGGGAAACTGCAAGTGAACTTTTTTTTTTCTGGATTTTGAGTCTTCCTCAAACTAGCGCAAAAGAACTAGTACACATCTAGGTTTTTATTTTTAATTAATTGTCTATTTGCATCTGTGTATTTTTCCTCAATTTAACAAAAGTAAGCAATGAATAATGCATTATTTGCATAACTAAAAATCACATTTCTGAAAATGTGTAATACAAAAACGAATTATCTAGGTATTACTAATTAACGGAGGAACTGGGAACTGGTTTGGTAATGTAGAGTAGACTTTAGTTGACCGTATATACCTGTAGTATCTCCCCTTAAAGGAAAACAAAATCACGTAAACACCATAATAATACCAAAATGTATTAGGATATCACATCTCAATCCAATTCAACACCTATTTATATTTTGGACTGTCTTTGACTTGTGCACCAAATGAACTGGCAAGTGAGTGTATTTTAAAAAAACTAGGGAAAGGAAATGATTAACAAAACAGTGAAAGAGTAGGGGATGTCAATATCACTGCATGAGGGTGAGGATTGTGGGTAAATGTTAGAAACGATTTAACATTTTCCAAAATATGTCCATGTGCAGGGTGTTTAAGTATAGTTTTCTTTGTTGTTAAGGACAACATTCGTCAAAAGCATGAATGGAACCATTTCTCTTTCAGGTTTGGTTCAGTAGCGTGAATAAAGTGACTCAGACGGAAACTACTGCTGGAGACCAGATTGTTGCTGTGGATAATATCTCTTTTATAAACTGTGAAAAATCCTACCAACCACCAGGTGTGTAAGGTTCATATCTGAATTGCATGTGAATGAATTGGACATGAGTACTAGGGATAATTCACAGATTGTATACTTCTCCTAATAAATCCACGTCTCCCTCCTCAGCTCTGTCTGCCTGTGGCTGCTCTTTCGAAGACGGGCTGTGTGTTTGGGTTCAGGGCGCTGAGGACGAGTTGGACTGGCTCAGCAGGACGGGTCCAACCGAGACCCCCAACACCGGGCCTACAGGAGACCACTCTACCAGCACAGGTCACTTTAACTTCAGTCTCCTAAAACATACAAATAACTAGAGAGCATTTGTATTACTTCTCAGTTACATTTAATACAGGAAGTACAGCATCGGCTGTGTTGAGAAATGTTCCTTTGCTACAAGCAAGATAAACATTAAGCTAAATGTGCTGCAGCTACAAACACTATGGATAGGTCAAAGGTAAAAGATAGACATAAGTAAGCACAATTACAATCCTCATGTAAATAAAGCATGCAATTTGAAACAATAAGGAAGTAGGAATATTCACGAAAAATAAGATCAGCAACTGACTAGTAAGAACCATTAAAGCATGTGAGTTCAAATCCATAATAGAAGTATGAATACAATTGAATAATTATTGGACCTGTTAACCGGATTCATGGAAGAAAAGTTTTACAGTAAGTTAGTTTTTTTTATCTTTATCTTTCAGTGTAGCTGCGGCCACAAGTGACCATTACTGGGAAATAACTGTCACAAGAAAAGAAAATTCACAAAAACAGAAGAGTGACTAAATAATGCTTATCAGCAGTTACTGTACACCACACTCATACTGGTCATCCCATTCTGGTAAACAACTACAACAAACAACCAGCACAACGAAGTAATACCACAGAATACTTGTTTTAAAATAACAATCATTTAAAAAATAATCACAAGGCAGCTTTTACAATGATAGCAAATACTCTTTGTTGATTAGAATGTATACAAGCTATTGTTTTAAGAGCCTGAAGCTCTTGAAGCTTGTTTCCTGTTTCAACAGCAAAAAGTGTTTTTTTTGTTTGTTCAAAGAAACACTTTAAATGTATTTTACACTTTTACCTCCTAACTCATACCTCTTATTCCAAAAGGGGAAGACAGGCTTGTCTGACATGATACCATATATGTTGTAGATCTCAATCATGTCACCTCTTTCTCCTGTTTACAGAGGAGGAAATTGTAATTTGCCTTCGAATAGCCACATTTGACTTTTCTAAAACCTTTCCTCTAAACTTCTCTTTTTCTTCTTTTAAGTTCATTATTCTTCACAGCTCATTGGTTTATACAACATGTGACAAGGCATTGCAAATACACTTTGATTGTGTTGTGGATTTATTACTGTTTTTGTTCTTTCACAGGGAAGTTCCTTTTCATCGAGAGCTCAGCACCAAGTGTGAAGGGAGATAAGGCCCAGCTGAAGTCTCTGCTGCTGCCGCCTGCTGGTGGAAAAGGATACTGTTTCACATTTTGGTACCACATGTTCGGAGCTACTGTGGGATCCTTGAAGATGCTCCTACAAACAGCTGATCCCTTGAAGAGAACATTGGTAAATAAAATGCACAAAAATGCAGTTTGCTAATCTATTTTTTTTTTAAATGCTGGTAAAGGTTATAAGTCCACCACTTCAGCCTCTCCAACACACTCAATTGTAAAGGATTTATTTTCATATGCACTGTAGCTACAGTGTAGATATGGCAATGAAAACTGAAGTCCCAAGGTCCTCCAACAATGCAACATAATATACAGTATGTATAGTACATAAAACAATAAAACAAATAAAATAAAATAGTGCAAGACTAAACAGAGTAAAATAACATAATGGAGATGTTGTTGCAAGAGCAAGCAGTCAGCAAAGTAATACCACCGTGTACTTAAAATAATAATAATGATATTTTTTAATGTTTAAACAAGTTTAAGGATTACAGGGGTCAGAGGAGGCCACTTGTTGGAGTCTGGACACTTTACTTGACTTCCCTTTACTACAACTGAACGATTGTGAGGTTGAGAAATATTGGTGACTGCTCCTGCTGAGTTTTCTCTCTGTTATTATACGTTTTGCATAGTTGCGAAATCCTTGTTGCACAATGACATTAATGCATTGTATAATGAGTGCAAGCTGCACAGTTTCAGTGCATGCCCCGGTGTTGCAAAAGCATCCTCACATCCTCATTGAGTGAATCAGCCTCATGTCTTTCCTGTAGGTGTGGCAAAAATCAGGAAATCAGGGGGACGAGTGGCGGCTGGCGAGGAGTCATGTGACCTTGCAGGAAGTCCACCAAGTACTTCTCGAGGCGACGGTGGGGGGGGAGGCGGGAGACATAGCCATCGATGACATCTCCCTCATCAGTGGACCATGTCCCGCCTCTGGTAATACAACTGAAGCTGCAGGAAACAAATACAGAAAGAAACATGTTAGTTTAGTTGCACTGTCATTTCCAGTGATTTGTTTGTTTTAATGTGAATCGAAATGTTGAAGACTGAGTAAAATAACTAGAAAAGAGGTAGTCGAGGCACATTAAAAAAAAACTCCTTCCCCTCCCCGGTGAATCATATCCACTTAACCTTCCCTCCCTCCTTACTGGCTCTTATAGACTTGTATACTGTCTAAAGGGAAGTATCACAATAAATACTTCTCATGTGTTTACTGTATGTGATACTTTGTTGGGCAATATGAAAGTGGAGGGACTGATAATTATTTTATGATACTTCTTATAATATTTGAAAAATACAAGAACATTTTATAGTTTGTTTTTTCTTTGTCTGTAAAATACCGTTTGTAGGCAAGGAGAACTCTGTAGCTCAACATTACTTCATTCAAAATGCTACTTTAACACATATTCAACCTTTAACAAATATAGTTGTACTTGTGTTTTGAATATCAAACTAGTCCATATTGCGATTTCCATAAAATGTGAATACATTTTGCATCCCTACTTGACACAACTACATTTAAAGGATACATGTTTAATATCCCTATTAGACTGGGTCTCATAGGCAAGGCAAGGCAAGTTTATTTATATAGCACCTTTCAACACAAGGCAATTCAAGGGGCTTTACAAAAATTAAAGACATTCAGACAAAGGCATTTTGCGTTTAAGCAATAATGAGTGCAAACACTGAGTTACCATTATCTTTCCATGCAGAAGTAACTCTTATAATGCTTCCCAAAACATTATCTTGTAGATGTGTGTGACTTTGAGGAGGGCAGCTGTGACTGGCAGCAGCAGAGCGACGATGACTCGGACTGGGTCCGAGAGACGGGCTCCACACACAACCCCCACACCGGGCCGGACAGCGACCACACCACCAACACCCCCACCGGACATTACTACTTCCTGTCCTCCTCTACAGACGACCTCCAGGGACAGACAGCTAAAATGTCTTCACCTCTGTACCCTGCAGGTGAGACAGTCAGACAGGACAGATGATTCACACAGGACCAAACATTAAGTTGAATGTCTTACAAAGAAAACACCTGATTTAATGCATTTGAATACAATATGATCAAAGGGTTTGACTTTAGGATGTATAGGATCCCCGCACATGCCCAATAAACTTCATCAAACATACAGTGTCTTCATCCCTTATAGTAAAACATTTGAATTCAAAAGAAAAATGACTGTGACTGTCATATCATTAATGAAATGTACTTAGTACGATCCATCACTTCTTTTGTCTACAGTCAAACTAAAATATTTGGACACCTATGCAGTTAAAGGTGTACATTTCTTTCGTTTTTCATGTATCTGATCTGGTTGTCCTTCCTGTGGCCCTTCAGGTAAAGGGGTCTGTGTGCAGCTGTGGTACCACATGTACGGCAGAGGAGTGGGCATGCTGAATGTTTACCAGCAGAGCGAAGAAGGGAAGGAAGCTCTGATTTTCTCTCAGTCAGGAGACCAGGGCCGGCTGTGGAGGTTCGCTCAGGCGTCACTGCTGCCCCGGGTGCAGCCTTACAGGGTGAGTGACCAAGATCCGCACCAAACAGTCTGCTGATCACACACAGACGTTTTGGGAAAAAGTGATATTCATAGACAATGGTTGAAGGTATAATAAATAGTAGTTAACTTAAATACAACTTGGAACCATTGAACTGTTAGTGGAGTATTTATTTGTTATGGCATTTAATACATTTGTACTCTTTTACTTTATTACATTTACTTGACAGCTTGAGTTACATGTCTCATATCTCGCAACCTCTCCACATAAAACTGATATTATATTGAAAATGTTACAAACTTGTTTTATTTATTTATTTTTGCAAACCCAGCCTTACAGGGTACATAAGTGAACTGCCCCATTAATGGCCCATGCTATTACCGGTAGTTTAAAAAGAAAAAGGAAAATTACTTTAAACATTTTCCCGTTCCTTTTTTAATGCCTCGAGTCTAGAACTGTCTCAAATTGAGACTATAATGTGATCAAATAAGCCTAAACATACCTATATCTAATTTTGCTCTATATATATTAATATTTACAGTTAGCAGTTTAATGTTCCTCGCTTTGTGTTTCAGATCGTGGTAGAAGGTGTGAAGTCCGGCCCCACGCAGGAGGGGGACCTGGCCTTTGACGATGTGCATCTGACGGACGCTCAGTGTCCTCCTCCGGGACATTGTGACTTTGAAATCAACACGTGCAGCTGGAGCAACCTGGGAGGGGACGTGGACCAGGAGGACTGGCTCCGAGGCAGGGGGGCCTCTACAAACCCCAGCACCGGACCCAGTGTGGACCACACCACCAACTCAATACACGGTAATGATACAGACATCCTATACCTCTGTGTGACCAAATCCAATTAATTTACACAATCAAAAAACTAAATTCAGTTGTAAATCACATCTGCATTTTCACTAAAGAGTAAGTAGAACGTTAAAAGTTTCCCAGCACATTATCAACACTTTCCCCTCGCTTTATAGTAGTTGCTCTGATGTCCTTAGACTTCAAATAAAAAAATATCTGCCTCGACAAATTCCCAAATATATATACTAATATTATTTTCAATCCATATCTTCTAACAAACATAATTTCTGATTATAAGCACCAGATATGCATTCATTTTCAGAATCTTAACCCTTTCAATGCCAGTTTGTACAGTACATAATGTCAGTGATGTTTTTTATGAAATGCACTGCTCCAACTCAAATGTAATTATTTACAGTATACAAAATGCTAGAGGGATTATATTTGTTCACATTCTAGGATACGACAGTGATTAGTTGCATCCATTTTAATGCATTTGTATCTTTTGTGCGTGAAACAAAACATTAGTAGCTACTTGTGAAATGTGTGAGAATTCCTCAGTCTGGTGGAAATAGTATAAATTACAGTTTGGAAGCTTTGGCTCTATTGTATATACTAGTTTGAAGTGATGTTGACTATATCATGTTATCTAATAAGCTTTACTTTCTGTCAGGTATATTTTTTGATCTTGTCATGATTCCACCAGGTTACTATCTGTATGTGGATAACTCAGTGGGCGAGTGGGGGGACAATTCCTTCCTGATCAGCGACGTCTTCCAGCCGGCCACTAGAGGTCACTGTCTCACATTCTGGTACCACATGTTTGGCAGCCACATTGGGACTCTCAGAGTTTACACAAACGACAGGTAACGAGCAGTTAGTGTCTGATGACGAGAGGAACATAAATCATCAACCGTACTCTTAAAATGATTTAACTTGTGCTGCCCTGTCTCATAGAACAATGCATTCAGGTGGCAACGAAGAAGGGATGCTGAAGTGGATTGAGACAGGAAACAAGGGAGACAGGTGGAAGGAGGCCAGTTTGACTGTGAAACATAATGAGGCATTCTGGGTAATGAAGTATTTTTGTTTTATCTATCAGAACAAACGCATGTAGTGTTAGTATGAGAAAAATCAGGGTTTGACGTGTTGGTATTTGCCAGCTGTGGGAAGTTATCAACTACATTTACACAAGAACTGTAATATAATTTAGACCTGGTTTGACTTTTTATGCTACTTTATTTATATTTAAGAGGGAAATAATGTACTTTTTACTCCACTACAGTTACTTGTTAATTTTTAATTTTAAGATTTGACAGTATCTAGTCGAGATATCTTGTCATATTCCAGATGCCTTTGAGTTTGACTTCTAAACTTATTTGACTGTTTGTGGTTAACAGATGTAATTTTGTTCAAATATTTCATTACAAATATTTAGATAAAAGTCCCATAAACAACAAAACAAAATGAATGAATTTTTTTTCCTCATGTGATATCTGACATTTCTGATTTGTATTTTCACATTAAACTATTTTTTTGTCGCAGTTTGTGTTTGTGTATCAGCGGGGGATGAATCCAGGAGGGGACGTTGCTCTTGATGACATCAGCGTCCGCCCTGGCGGCTGCTACTCAGAGCCCCCCATCGGCCCTCCGGATGATGATAATGGTAACCTGACACCCATTTGACCCTCTTAAACTGGCATACATTCAGCAAGAGAAAGGAAAATGTATGTTCTGCAGTGTTATTTTCCCATTAAGTAATGTCAAATGTAAATAAGAAAACAACTATTTATCCAAAAATCATTAGCACACATTGATATTAGTATAAACAAATCATTTATGTCTGCATTATTAACCAACCTTTTTTTTTTTTTTAACCTGTCAACAACTCCCATTAAAGCCTTTCATACTTTGTGCCTGTTTTCTAGCACACCTTACTATGTTGTTTACAGATCGTGTTTTTAATGTATCACAGTAACACACAGTTAGCACCTCATAGTTCATATGTAAGGATGACACTTAACTTTCCCACAGACTCATTTAGTGGCATTCCTCAACTTGAATCAGCTTCAAGAGATGCAGATAACGATAAGACTCATTGGTAGCTGTCATGATGCCAAACAAATGTGTTTTATTTTGTTTGCACATGAGTTTATCTTGCCAACTATTGTATGTTATCTTTGTGAACCATATCTGATTATTGTTACACAGAAATCAGATAATCCCGCTACCACCCGTGTAACAACCTTTTTTCCACCTGAAACTTACGTCTAATAATAAATAATGTCACAAAAGAATAGTTGAATATTATTTAGAAAAAGCTATTAATATCAATTTGTCATTGTAGTTCTTAGCAAACATTTGGCAAAGAGGAGGGAGTAGTGCATTTGTTACAGACTTTCCGCAACAGGTGCGATATTGACAAAGACATTGAAGTCAGATGTTGTGTTTCATCTTGTTTCCGTGTGTCTGCAGACATGATGTCGGCAGGTCTGGCTGTCGGTCTGACTCTGCTGGCTGGAGTCATCATCTCCATCTTCCTCGTAGTGCTGAACAAGAACAGGCGGTGTAACACAATGTACAGACAGAGTTGTTTTTAAATACATACATCATTTACTTATAAAGAAACACCAAAGAAAGAATGCTGGTTTATTCTGACAGGTGACATTTCTGCTGGTGTGTTTCAGGAATCAGCCGATGATTTTAAATGAAGACACAATTGACCAGGACGCTGGGTTTGACCTCTTTGACTGCAAAATACAAGTAAGTAGCCGAATGTATCAATAACACATATTATCCATCCTTCAAGGAGCGCAGATTATTAAATACAAATCTATTTTTTTTCCCTCCAGGGCACAGAACATGGAACTCAATCAGACCTTTCCTTCTATAACAATCTGTATGACCCCTCGTCAAATGAAACTGACACCACAGTGACTGCATCTGATGCCTAGTCCAGATCAATAACTCCATGAATAAGGAGTCGAACGAGCAGTGATGAGTTGATGAGAAGTCAACAAGCTCTGAGTAAAATATGTTTTGAAAAGCTTTAAGTGTTATTATATTGTTCATTGTGACGATGATTTTTTTCTTTACTTCTGAAACTGGAAATACAATTCTCTGTTTTGTAAGAATGTTTACATAGATACAATAAACGTGCTTCATTTTCAAGTTTATAGCTTTTTGTGTGAGATTTGGCCAATGCAATAGTGGAGCAACCGTGCAAGAAGGAGCCACAACATTTAACAGAGCTGCAGTTGAATTCAAAATCAGAACTATACTTTCATTTTGCTGAAGGCCAGATTTTACTTACTAAATTTCATAGGGAGATATTGTACTTTTCTCTCCACTACCCACAATCGTTAGTTACTTATCGAAAGAAGATTCTATAATTGTCAGGGCCTCTAGAAACATTGCAGATGCCTGTGAGATGTTAACATTTTTCTTGTAAATGTATTTTGTATTTGAATAACTGTTTGTGGCTCATACAGGTAAACATTTTCACATTTCGCAAAAAAGACAAGAGAAAGAAAAAGATGAACGATAGAGAAAAGTATTAAAAATAACAACACAAATGGATTTGTGTATCAAAACACAGAGGGGTGAGATCAAAATGGGTGTGGTCCGAGCCGAACGTGAAAAGGGGCCAAATCATTATCAAATGTTACATCTCTGAATATGAATACTCTCATATTTTTTGGTATTGCTTAAAGAAATGTAAATAATAATAATTATTTGTAATATGTATATTTCACATGCACAATACTATGGTATCGAGTTCAGGTTTCTTGTTTTCATGTGCACAACAATTACAGAGAATCAGTCAATGGCAGTGCACATCGGATCCTAAATCTCTCAATGGAGCTCAACCCCTTATAGAGCGTCTGGCTGGAAAAGTGTCAGCATATTTTTTGTCACACCTGCTCAGAAGTCTCAACACCAAGACTCTTCAGCTGCTTGACGCCAATCATTGCCACGTGTTTGTAGCCTGTCCAAAAGAAAACACTTTCTCAAATAAGATATAAACAAAATACATTTATTTGGGACAGTAATTACCTTTAATTAGGACGACCTCCTTTTAAGGCCTTAATATTGACATCCGCAAATATTCAAACTAAACATTAATCAAGTATGTGTTTTACTGCCTAAACCATGGTAACATAATATTGTTTATAATTATTAGTTTTATTATCAAATTGGAAGAATTACCTTCTTCATTAGGCTTCAGGGATTGAAATGTGGACATTTGGGAGGTGTGGCAAATGCATATATTCAGAAACCCCTTCTTTTATTAAAATGTACATATTTATTTACCTTCTTTTTTGCTTCTTTCTACTACTTTATTCTACTGTTCACGGGTGCTTTGTGTCCTCTATAACATCTTTCCCGTTTCATTCATCTGTCGAGATTTTCCAGCACTATAGTTTATAGATTTGTGCGAGAGTGGATCATGTTTGCAAATATTTTTTAACTGTTTTATTGGATAGGCGAACCTATACGTTCGCGTTATACCTATACTATAAGCGTCTTTGAGTTTTGAAAAGCGCTATATAAATAAAATGCATTATTATTATTATTATTATACTTTAAAAAATGGGCGCAGTTGTCCTTTACGTTACATTCCACAACTGTCTGCAGTGGGTGTGGAACAAACCATTTGCATTTTCTTTTGAGGGGGGGAGCGAAAGAGGCTCTGCTGTTGCTTTAATTCAATATATTGTATACAATTTTTCAATATTCAACAGTAATGGTAATATGCAATGCAGATATAACGTATAATGTATTCATTGTCATACAATACGCTTTAATTGACATTCTCAGTAATAAAAACAAACGTAGATGACACCACAGTTCCGCTGTTTCCCTTAGTATAACTAACGCCCCAGGTGCCTTTTATAATTAATTTTTTGATTCAAAAACACACCTTCCTCGCACATTGTTCACGCTCTGACAACCAATTACACGCAGACACACCATGGATGTTTTATCACACACACAAGAATTAAAAGCAAAAAAAACGCCCGCATGCCCTCTCACCCACGTCAGAAATGGTACAGTCCAACAGAGAACGCACCAATCAGGTTGCGTGTGACTGAACATAGAGGGCTCGTCCAGGAAGCCGGTAAACGGGGGAAGACGACTTGGAAAAAAGAACAATGGGAGTAGAAGTAGAAACCCTTAGACCAGGAGACGGTAAGAATTGTAGCATTTTTATTCATTTACCCAACAAAATAAATATATTTCACTCGGTTTTTTTCAACCACCTTTTATTGTGTCTCATTTCAGGAAGAACCTTTCCACAAAAGGGACAGACTGTGTTCGTGCACTACGTTGGTAAGATCTAACGTTGATTCAAAAATGACCGGTCAAAGGTTGTTCAATTGGTGAATCGTTTATTTATGATAACTAATATAGCCCGTTTACAAATCAACCTGTGGTCGGTTACAATCTCAGACAGCTGGTGTAGCTTCAGATCGTGGAAATGGCGTACTGGCTTTGGGTTGAGTCGGTGGGTCGGTGACGCTTGCATGTCTGTTCGTTACGGAAATATTAGCATGAACACGCTTAGCTTAGCACAAGGACTGCAAACAACTAGCCTAGCTCTGTCAATAGTTAAGCATGCTAATCTGAAACCCACATGTTGGTCATTTAATACTTCATATATCGTTTGTTAAATCTCTGCGATTATAAATAGCTAACAGTATCGCTTACCTTTGATTCCCCGTCATTAGGCTAACATAAGCTAACCGTGCTGTATGTTTAGCTACATATATATTACATTAAAAAAACATTCATTTACCTGTTTTAAATTTAAATAAATGCAATTGAAAAATAAAGCACACCGAGCTAATAGACCAGAGGACGAAGTACTCTCGTTTACTTGAGTTAAAGCAGAAATACCACAACGTGCGAATACTTGGTTACAAGTAAAAGTGCTGAATGGCAAATGTTACCAAAGTACAAAAGGTATCAGCATCAAAATATACTTAAAGTGCCGAGATTAAAAGTACTCAATACGCAGACTCCTTGGTGCTGGAGAAACGTACCTTTATTTGACTTTGCAAAATAAGTAATCATGTTAACAAGTCTTTTGTTCCTGTTACAGGCACGCTGACAAATGGAAACAAGTTTGACTCCTCCAGGGACCGAGGACAGCCCTTCAAATTCAAGATTGGACAGGGACAGGTCATCCGAGCCTGGGATGAGGGTGTAGCTCAGGTGAGGCAGAGGAGACCTTCACACATGTCACTCTTCATGGTGGTTCACTCATCTTTTGGGTAGGCCCTGTAATGGGGCTGGCCAAAATGGCAAACTATTTATATTTTAATATCATTTACAACATTGCTGTAATGCAATATTTGTCTACAATTGCAAGGCATTTAAGCTATAAACCTGTGCCAGCTGCACTTCATGTCATGGTAATTCATATTAAGACATGGGTTATTCCATACAGCTGTGAACTGTTGTTGCCTAAGGTTTTTCAAACGGACCACTGACATCCTTTATGGTTAAATCAGCTGTAACATAGCTGAAAGCAGAAAAGTCAGCTCATTAATTCAGCTGTTTCTGCTCTTAATCATTCTGATATCTGCAGACAGCTAACTAGCTCGTGTTAGCTACCCAGCAAGTAGACGCTAACTGAACACAGTAAAACCTGCTCTCTTATGTGTCAACTTCCACCTTACCAGATATAATATCTCCTTATAAACACAAGCTCAGCACTCCGCTCAGTTTGCAGTCTTCTTTTGGGCCATTACATTTGCTAAGAGAAAGTGTTGGCTACACATGTGACAGCCTGTAATCTGCAGCAGGTGCCACGTTTAACTATTCATGTATTCACAACAGCTCATATTGCCAAATATCACCCACATATTATTTGAAACTGAGCATAACCCTTTTTCTTTTTTTTTGCAAGCCGCCACAAATTAATTTAATTTGAACTACCCTGCCCTGCAGTGCAAATGGTTGACTGTGTTCTGGGACTGAAGTAGCTTTCCTGTCAAAGCACAACTAACAAAATGGGGGCAGAAGAAGAAAAGATGTGCGTGATTCAGTCAAGGGGGTTAACCAAATAATTGATTTGCACTGTGGGAATTTTAGAATGCAGTGTTTTTGGAGCTTTAGGTTCCTCAACAGAGATGACGAATATACAAATCCCCCATTTTACATCACACCATATTGTTAACTTTTATGTAACTCGCTCTTCCTTTATTTGACAGATGAGCGTCGGCCAGATGGCCCGGTTGACGTGCTCGTCGGACTACGCGTACGGAGCGAGAGGATTCCCGCCTGTCATCCCAGGAAATTCCACTCTCATCTTTGAGGTGGAGCTGCTGAGTATCAGCTGAAGTTGAAGGTTGATCTTCAGTTACTTATTCCACCAACATCCGTCACAAATAACTGTTGATTAAAGGTGCTGTCAATAGCATTTATAAACATGTATTAATCATTGTAGACATCATTTTGATATCTAGATGATGGAGACTAATTAGACTAATGTCGGCAGTATTGATGGTGCATAATTGACACCTTGAAAAACATGACGCAGTACATCATTTTGAGAAATATGCCTTTTTCTCCCAGGATTCATGTGGCCTCCATTTTTACATTTGTATGATAAATCTTAAAGCACATCACATACATAATGTAACGACGGCAAAAGACAATGAAACATTGATTAGAAACACTACTGTGTTGTTGTTTTTTTGCATGTGCCATAAACAAGAATATAACCACTGAATCAGCATAACAAATATTTTAATATAATGTCTCAGAAGTAGTGGAATGATTAATTTTAAAAATGCACTTGAAAGAACTTTTAATGAAGAGCTTATTTGTTCCCTTTTTTTGCATTAATGTATCCCTCCATCAGATGTATTGATTTGACAGCTCGAAACTTTGACACAATGTTAAGAAGCGCTTGCAGACAAAAAACGGCTTATGTTTTCATTTTTCATCCCTCCTTGTGTTGCCTTTTGACCATATTACATTTTGAAACCTGACCTTTACACTATCAAGTGTCCTTGTGTTGTCTTAAAGTTTTTATTTTATTGTGTCATCCATTAGAAATGTTTTTCTGGGGTATTGCATTCTTGCATTAAAATATATGAAAACAATCTGAGTTGTCCAATTGATCTTTCCTTTGAAAACGTTTAGAGTTATCCCTAAGTAAGTTAAGGATGTGTAAATGTATAGCTGATAAAAAATAATATGTACATTCCTCTCTTCCCGAGTACTAAATATGTTATGTTTTAAAGTTTAATTATTTAACAGTGTACTGACGATGGCCCACAGCATTTTCTAAACAGCTCCTCCCTAAGATATAACGAAATTATTTTTAATCAAATGGCTTCACGTGTCTAGTTATAAAGGATGGTTGTGTCTGTGGCCATCTAGTGGGGAAACCTGTAAATACATTAGAGACCTACATGCTGGTGCCTTCACTTGCTCCCTATAATCATTAGTTTTAAAGCCTCCTGTAGGCAAGCGTTTCAAAATAGGATTCGCTATAAACAATGTCCAAATCAAACCGATGTTCATGTTTTGCCATTAGGTGGAGACTTGTAATATGCAAGGGTTAAAATGGGTTTTTAAGTGTGGCAATTTGCATCTTACAATATGACAAACCCCTTTTCAAATATCCAAACAATTCATTGTGCAAAATGTAACACATTTTCGCATTTCAAAGTAAATGCACCAATCTAGAAATAGTGAGAATTAAGAGACTGGAGAATAAACAATCTTGTGCTCTGGTAAACAATGTCTTCACAAACGTCATAACCAAGCATAAAGCCTTTTTAAGTAAAAAAAAAATCCTCCACAACTCCTTTTAATAATAATACATTTATTTTGTAAGCGCTTTTACAGGTGCTCAAATTCGCTTTTCAAAGGTTGTAGAAAAAAAATGTTGGGTTGATAATGAAAAGTGAAGATTCCCACTGCACTTGAAGGCACCGTTTGGTCCAGGCTCTCATCACCGAGCAGCGGTGTTTTATTCCTCAAACTGAACTGATGCACAGATGATCTGCGGATAATCCAAACCTCTATCATAAACATGGCGCAAATGTACCGTTAATCTAGATTAAATCATACTTTTCTTTTACTTTTTCTCAGAAAAGTGGGCACTTTTTTTCAACTTCACAAATCGCGATCTTGGACTTTCCCTGTCAGAGGCGCCAACTCATTGCTTCAAATTAAATGTTTGAGCATTTAACATGCGTTACGAGCTGAGGGGCAGGATGGCGATGACACTGACCAACACATGTCATCTCCTCACAGGACTAGTTATTGTTTTCCAGTTACAAATAAGCTTCATGAAGCTGAAATCCGTGTATGGTAAGTAAATAAATATGTCTTGAATCTGCTAATAGGCCTACTAAAGTAAAATATTATTTGTAAGTCATATTATGTATGTATATAAATCGGTACAATAAACTAGCTAACATAACAAATGATCAACTTTAACCTTAGCTTTAAAGTTTCCTCCTGTGTGGTTCTGCGTCATCTTTTTGTTAGTTTTTCTTGTAATTAATGTTATAAATATTGTGTTATTGGTTTGAAAGATATGTTTAGTTCTACACCAATGCCTATATGCCAAGTACAGAAAATGTGGCAGATCTTTTGACATGTTCTTATCTTTCTCAGTGTGTTCCCTTGTGTTTGTGCTTAGCTAAGTGGAAAATAGTTGATACAAAAATGTAGACCACATTAAAATTGCAGAATTTTAATAATTTATAATACTCTCTTTGGAGATACCGGGGGAATACATTGACATTTCAGTGTCCTGTAGTTGTTGGAGCCATTTGCAGCTTTATGGACAGTATGTTGTGCTTTTTGAAAGGTTTTCTCTGAAGCATCTGGGTTTGTTTTTACCTGGTTTGTGCCAGAACTTGTAGCTATTTTCTGTGGCAAACAACCCTTAACTTTTACCCTTACAAATGTTTATTTCCAGTTCAAAATAGTGAATGAGTGAGCTGTATTGAATTGCATAATAAGTCTCACTTGTGTTGATCTAAAGACCATTTTACACAATCTGAGTGGCAGTAATTGAACTCCATAATAACCAATAAAAGCTCTTGGTACCACTAAGATTATGTAGCATCAGAACACAGGGCCACCGTGTGACAGAAATATAGACACAACACCCACGTCAGCCCGGCCTCACATGCCTGGTCCTGGATCTGCTGGTGTGAAGAATGTGAAGCATGCTTTCACCCTCCGCTGTGAAAAGAGATATTAAGACGTTCTGTTGTCACTGGAAGAGTGGGGGGGGGGCACTGACCAACAGGATTGCCACATGGCACCCACCGGGGGTTTGTTTATGTCCTTATGAGAGTGAGAAGGAGGGGCAGGAGTTTGTTTACTTATGTTTGAGATGTTCGAGGCATTCTCCACATTCCCTTAACACACAGTTTCCTTTATTTATGTCCTTCTATGGAAGTTTAAAAAATCATTTGTTCCCCATCTTACATTTACAGTATGTTGTGTTTCAGTTTCCAAGCTCTTCATGGAAGCTTTATGTTTAACTGGAGTGAAACATGTGTGCATCATTTTAACTGATTTCCCCAAAGTGGAGCATGGCAGATTTGGTACCTTAAGATATATAGAAAAGCAACTATAAGATAAAAAAAATATGAATTCAATGAGTATAAATAAGAGCTTACAACGGAAAGAAAATGAAGCGTCCTCTATTTTGATTAGCTTAAATCACTTTTTGGAAAAAATAAACTTATCTCCCCTTGTTTGTTCCTCAGGAGTGTACGGCGCTGACCCCCCGGGACTGTCCTCTCCAGAGGGAGCGTGGTATGTGGTCACGGAGAACAACAGGCCCACCGAGAGGAGTCCCCGGGCCCCTGGCTGGGCTGCAGACAAGAGGGGCCACTACAGAGACAAGCACCAACCAGAGGAACCAGACCCAGAGCTGCTGATGGAGGAGGGACACGACAACTCCACTCAGATTGTGGTAAAGATATTTACCGAAAAGAGAGGTTTAACAGCTGAAGAAGTACAATTTGAAATATTTTAATAACTGAAAGTAACTGAATGTATTCAGTTTACGATTATAATGGCAGTTCTCGAGGATGAAAACTTGACAGAAATAGTTTAAATGTTGGTCTGAAATAATCTTATGGATCAAACTGTTCAATATGGTTATGATATAAATGAATGTTATACATAAACAGCTTACATTTTCTTTCCTGTAAGTACATGTGATGACATTTGGAGAATATTAGGCATTTTCTGTTTTTCATGTTTAATACATAGAAATAATTGGCAAGAAAGACTAGAGGGAAAAACTAAATGCAATTATTTTATAGAGTTTCTCAAAATGGTTGTCCTCTTTGGAACAAGAATCTGAAAATACCAGAAATCCGCAACTAACACGACTCATTTATGTTATTTCTTAACTTAAGTTAGCCTTTTGTGATTGCTTGATGAGCAGCAGATGTTTTACTTTCCATACCTGTCAAAAGTTAAAACTCATAGCCTCACTTGCATTGGAGCTCACTTTTTACAGCTCCTTCCTAAAACACATTTTTTTATATTCATCTTCACATAGTATTTTTTTAATGTTGATTTTAAAGTATTTCAATCCGTGTATTTTTGGCAGGATATTGATCACGCCTACTACACATCCAAAGTGTACGGCTCTGGAGACGGCAGAGATCTGTGGGTGAAGGTGGAGGAGGAGGACGAGGTGAAGCTGTGCGGCCTCCTGTCCAGCACCCACAGGCAGGCAGAGGTAACACAGCGTGGGAAGGAAGGGACAGTCAGGGTTATATTCAAATTAAATGTTGAAGAAGTTTGATTCCAATTGATTTTGAGACATTGTGATATAGTGTGGCTCATCATATTACAGTTTATATGTATACTAGAACATAAGCTGGGTTAACTCTCACTCAGTAGCATTACAGCTACTTTTTTACAGGATGAAACATTCTGCTTTGTCTGCTCAGGGTGTCCGCGGGGTCTTAAAAAGTATTAAAAGTTGATAAATCAATTTTTTTTAAACGGCATTTTCCAAGGTATTACATTTTGTAGCTTGTTTTCAATAAGTATATCAATTGTCCAAAGAGCTTGTATTCTACAGCTTGCCTGAATGTAATCATTGCGTAGGTGTGTAGTGTGATTCTCTGTAGTTTATTTATGGCATCCCGTTGGATTTGACGTCATCTGAACTGGACATCGCACGCTCACTGCTCGATAGCGAGCGAAGGTCCGTTTACGCCTGTTGTTAAAACCTGTTAAACCCCGAGCCTGTTTTTCAGGTTTCAGGCTCGAAAATGACATTCCCAGAACAAATGACCATATCTTCCCTTCTAAAAGGGGAAAATTAATAATCTTTTTTCTCAAAGTAATGATAAACCTGTGAGTTGGATGTTGAAAAGTCAGAATCAATATAGATGTTTTTTATGTTAAAGAAAATTCAGATTGAAGACAGTAAAAAACTGTAAATTATAGTGTCCGTCCCAATTTTTTTTTTACTTATAGTGAAAACACTGTTGCTTGCAGATGTTGTGGTTTCGGACCCGCCGAAGGGTCCGTGGGGCTTAAGACATCGTTATGGGGAAATGCAAGTCTGCGTCCAAATGGTTGGAAGATAAGGAGGAAGGACAATCAATACTGTATATAGTCAATGTGTGGTGTGTAACCGGTTAAAACTCAAAGTGGCGATGAGATCTTGAAATGTATGGAAAGGGTCTTAAAAAAGGGTCTTAATAGGGATTACATTTGACTTTCGGGTTTCGGCATATACCCTGCTGCTGCATAAGTGTATTTTGACCATCTTTAACAAACAGTTAATAACAGTTTTTCTCTCTCTTTTCCAGAGAGTGAATCTCTCCTTCGACTTCCCTTTCTACGGACATATACTAAAGGAAATCACGGTGGCAACTGGAGGTAAATCTTTAACCACACGCGTCTTCTCTTTGGGAGTCGAGAGCTCAGAGTCATGATGAGGCTCTTCATTCAAAGCAGTTTGAGATTTCATCTTTATTTGGGCTACAAATACAACCACATTATATGAATACAGACATTTTGGACTGGACGGGAGCAAGCTAAGCATTTAATATCAAGATCAAAAAAGACGACCAAAGTCAACATGTTACTTGTATAAAAAATTAAGTTTATTTTTGGCACTAGCAATTGAGATAAGCTGATTAAAGCCCAAAGAGTCTGGACGCTGTTTCCTTTGGTAGCTTGAACGTGCTCTAATTTCACTCTTTAAAAGCTGAACTAACCCTCATGCTAACCTCTGCGTGTGTTCCTCTCCCAGGATTCATTTACACCGGAGATATAATCCACCGGATGCTCACAGCCACTCAGTACATCGCCCCTCTGATGGCTAACTTCGACCCGAGTCTGTCCCAAAACTCTACTGTGGTTTACTTTGATAACGGTAGTAGACACTGTCATTTTACTCAACTGTCATCTGTTCTTCTTGTGTGGAATATTGATCTTAAATGCATTTCAATCAGGAGAGACTTAGTTTGTAGTTGATAACATTTGTATTGCCGTATGCACAATAGCGTTTTGGAGATTAGACCCCATCATACTGTGATTAATTAAGGGGGAGGAGAAGCCGACTAGAGAGAGAAACCCCCCGGGGTCTAGACCTTGGTGGTGGTGGTGAGTACTAAGGGAAAATAAAAGTCCGGAGTGATAAGGGTTCTTCTGGCTTGGACCTGAAAAACTGGAGGTGAAGGAGGTGGAGGAGGGTTGCATCAATTCTCTGAACGATGCTGTCAGGGGAGAGAAAGAGCAGATGTAAACGTTTTGCCAGGTGTGTTGTGATTGGCTGTGGGGAATAAGACGCAGCCGATTGGTTTAGCTTGGGTAAGTTGCGCCTTTACTTACTGAGAAAGGGGCGAGTGAGTGAGGGAGAATTGTGAATGAGCGTGTGGGAACCAGTCTTCCTGAAAGAACTTGCGCTGAGCTTCATTTCAATGACTGTGTTTATGCTTGTTCCCCCTGTAGGCACTGCCCTGGTGGTTCAGTGGAACCGGATCCACCTCCAGGACGACATCAGTCTGGGACCGTTCACCTTCCAGGCCGCTCTGCACAGCGACGGACGCATCGTGTTCGCATACAAAGAGGTGACATGTCCTCCCTCCTTCCTGTTCTCCTGTTAATGCGACACTCGTTTAGTTATACAGATTTATTTTTCAAAGATTCCTTTAGACATCAGCGACATCAGCTCTGAGAATCATCCTGTGAAGGTGGGCCTGTCGGACGCTTTTGTGGTGCTTCATAAGATCGAGCAGATCCCAAGTGAGTGGCACATTTGGTGTTTTAAAACTTGATTTTCCGACCATATTTTTGCCAGCCAACTCTTTAAACAATTCTCTAAATCTCACTAGTTATTAACGACATCATATCCTCTCTGACACGCTGCAGATGTTCGTCGGAGAACCATTTATGAGTATCACAAGGTCGACATCCTCAAGTCCAAAATATCCAATTCTACAGCGGTGGAGATGCTCCCTCTCCCTAGTACGTACAACTTCTAAATTACTTTTGAAAATACATGTCTTGCAAAAATCCACAGTTTGTATTTGTTTCCGTTCAATTTTAGAAACTGAATAACTTGTGATGACAATACAGTATCAGCACGATGCTCGGTGCTAATGCATTTGGCTTTAACTCACAGAAGCCGCTCTTCCTCCTCGCTCTTCCTCCTCGCTCTTCCTCCTCGCCCTTCTCTGTTTTCTTTATTCTCAGCGTGTCTCCAGTTCTCCAGCTGTGGTCCATGTGTCTCTTCTCAGATCGGCTTTAACTGCAGCTGGTGCAGTCGGCTACAAAGGTAAACTGGAAATCCCTCAGAGAGCACAGACCCACTAAATTCACATACATCCTGCGCTGCTTTAGAGTACACAGATATCCAATGAAATGAAAATATTATGAAATACAAAGAACGTGAATAGATTTTAAGGGAACATATTGCACTGCTAAAGAAGATGGCCACGTGATGAAGATATTAACATACTGTGTCTTACTGTTTACCCGATTTTAATGCACTATTATATTTAAGCAATAGCTCACGACAGGCCGTGGT